TTAAAAATAAATCTATCCAGTCAAATAAAACTATTTCAAAGAGCACCTTCAGCTTAGGGTTTATGGCATCTTTTGATTTTTCCTAACTTGTGATTTTCTGTCAGTGTAATGAAGTTTCAGCACACCAGCAGAACTTACACACATCCATCCATTATCTGACACACTTGTCCCAATTGGGGTCGCGAGGGGTGCTGGTGCCTATCTCCAGCAGTCTATGGGCGAGAGGGGGGGTACACCCTGGACAAGTCACCATTCCATCACAGGGCAACACAGAGACACACAGGACAAACAACCATTCATGCACACACTCACACCTAAGGGCAATTTAGAGAAGTCAAATAACCTAGCAGTCATGTTTTTGGACTGTGGGAGGAAGTCGGAGTACCCGGAGAGAACCCACACATGCTCAGGGAGAACATGCAAACTCCATGCAGTAAGACCCCGGGCCGGGGATCGAACCCAGAACCTTCTTGCTGCAAGGCAGCAGTGCTACAATGCAATTTTCTCAGCCACAAGCACACCATTACACCTGCTCTGCGCAAACGGAGGGTTAGTGCTCAGGGTTAGTGTTTAGGGACTGGTTTTTGATTTAGCCTCAGGCCCAGTGAGGTTCAGTGAGCTTCCGCATCACTCCCTTGAAAAAACACTTATTGGCTGTGTCCGAACGTCCACCCTACCCCTCAATCACTATATAGTGGAGTTTATAGTGAACTCAGTTATATCGTTTGGACAGATGATCACTATGGCCAATGCCAACCGGCCCCTAAGCACTAACCCTTAGCACTAACCCTCTGTCCACCCGTTCCCCTGGAGGGTCCGCCACGTTAAGGTTCCATCCCAAACCACATATTGGGTAGGGTGAGTGGACCATTCAACCCTTAAATGTCAAGTCTGCATACAGGTGCTGGTCATAAAATTAGAATATCATGAAAAAGTAGATTGATTTCAGTAATTCCATTTAAAAAGTGAAACTTGTATATTATATTCATACATTACATACAAACTCATATATTTCAGATGTTTATTTTGTTTAATTTTGATGATTACAAATGACAACAAATGAAAATCTCAAATTCATCATATCAGAAAATTAGAATATTGTGAAAAGGTTCAAAATTGATGGCCCCTGGTGCCACACTCTAATCAGCTAATTAACTCAAACCACCTGCAAAAGCCTTTAAATGGTCTTTCAGTCTAGTTCTATAGGCTACACAATCATGGGGAAGACTGCTGACTTGACAGTTGTCCAAAAGACGACCATCGACACCTTGCACAAGGAGGGCAAGACACAAAAGGTCATCGCTAAAGAGGCTGGCTGTTCACAGAGCTCAGTGTCCAAGCACATTAATAGAGAGGCGAAGGGAAGGAAAAGATGTGGTCGAAAAAAGTGTACAAGCAAGAGAGATAACCGCACCCTGGAGAGGATTGTGAAACAAAACCCCTTCAAAAATGTGGGGGAGATTCACAAAGAGTGGACTGCAGCTGGAGTGAGTGCTTCAAGAACCACCACACACAGACGTATGAAAGACATGGGTTTCTGCTGTCGCATTCCTTGTGTCAAGCCACTCTTGAACCACAGACAGCGTCAGAAGCGTCTTGCCTGGGCTAAAGAGAAACAGGACTGGACTGCTGGTGAGTGGTCCAAAGTCATGTTCTCTGATGAAAGTAAATTTTGCATTTCCTTTGGAAATCAAGGTCCCAGAGTCTGGAGGAAAAGAAGAGAGGCACTTCATCCACGTTGCTTGAAGTCCAGTGTAAAGTTTCCACAGTCAGTGATGGTTTGGGGTGCCATGTCATCTGCTGGTGTTGGTCCATTGTGTTTTCTGAGGTCCAGGGTCAACGCAGCCACATACCAGGAAGTTTTAGAGCACTTCATGCTTCCTGCAGCTGACCAACTTTTTGGAGATGCAGATTTCATTTTCCAAGAGGACTTGGCACCTGCACACAGTGCCAAAGCTACCAGTACCTGGTTGAAGGACCATGGTATCCCTGTTCTTAATTGGCCAGCAAACTCTCCTGACCTTAACCCCATAGAAAATCTATGGGGTATTGTGAAGAAGAAGATGCAATACACCAGACCCAACAATTCAGAAGAGCTAAAAGCCACTATTAGAGCAACCTGGGCTATCATAACACCTGAGCAGTGCCACAGACTGATCGACTCCATGCCACGCCGCATTGCTGCAGTAATACAGGCCAAAGGAGGCCCAACTAAATACTGAGTGCTGTACATGCTCATACTTTTCATGTTCATACTTTTCAGTTGGCCAACATTTCTATAAATCCTTTGTTTTTATTGGTCTTCAGTAATATTCTAATTTTCTGATATGATGAATTTGAGATTTTCATTTGTTGTCATTTGTAATCATCAAAATTAAACAAAATAAACATCTGAAATATATGAGTTTGTATGTAATGTATGAATATAATATACAAGTTTCACTTTTTAAATGGAATTACTGAAATCAATCTACTTTTTCATGATATTCTAATTTTATGACCAGCACCTGTAATTGCAGGCTCGCTGGAATTTGGCAGAGGATGTAACAATGGCTTGATGGCGGAGGAAACTTGTGCATTTAAATGTAAGTTTCACAGGTTTGCTGAATCTTCATCACACTGACAAAAAAGTATAAGAAAAAGACATAATTACATAATGGAAGGTGCTCTTTGACATAGATTTATTTGACTGTATACATTTTTTTTAAGAAAGGGGCAAATGGTTGATGATTTGAAGTCACCGTACGCCACAGAGCTACAGACGCCTTAGCAATGACTGCTTTCTTTTTTTTGTTGGAGGGAAGAGGCCGTCCTCCTTCTACACGCTACTTTAAGGTGCATTTGGGAATGATCGGTCCTCTACTATTTTAACCACTAGACATGCAAACACATAAAATGGTGCAACCATGATATAGTGCTCTATATGGCAGATGTTCAGGCACAGCAGTTGACTGCTTTATATTTGAAAGTTTTGGTCTTTGTATGTCCACAAGGTGTCAGATTGGTTTTTGTAAAAGCATGACTTTCTAAAATTGTTAAAAGTTGGCAAAAAGTAAGCCACAGAAAGCTGGACTCTTAAACTGGTTTAAAATTGCATTTCTTTGGTCTAATTTTATTTTATTTTTTTTACACTGACTAAAAATAAACAGTTGTTAAAATGTTTTATCATTTGTCTGCTGGCTCCTTTTGAGGATAAAGTATGATTCAGTTACCGGTAAGTTTAAAGAGTTAAAAGATTGGTAAAAACATTTGATCAACAGTATAGTTTTACCAATGCTTCAAAAATTTTACATTTAAAGTTACAATGTATTTTGCGGGTCATTTATTTAAAAAAATGGCATCAAGTATATCATTGTCTTTAAAATAAATGAGGTAATTGTATCATTTTTGTTTTCTTTGATGTTTTTACCTACCTTATTTTGATGTGAGGGCTACTGTAATGCCTGTGGTCATTGGAGCTTTCAGGTCAGTGACCTGCATGCTGGAGATATCGAACAAGTACCTGGAGAAACTGAGTTTGTAGTTCAGAAGAGCGCAGTCCTAGGATCAGCTTGGATAAACATGTTTACATCTGTTTGGGTCCTCGTATTAAAATATTTTATAACCATTTAGCAAAGCCTGACTGGGAAGCCATCATACTTCAGAAATAAGGTTAACATAAGGACACAGTCGGTGAGGGATTTAAACTGGTGTTGCTTTAAAGACAACGAAGACTTTGCCTATTCAAGCCTATTTATCCATCCTTTTAGGTAGAGGGAAAAGATTCAGGAAAACTTGATGCAAACTTGTCAAAAGCTTTTCTGAGCCAGTCTGCACTGGTAAGAGGAGGATTTCACAGTGCTGTATTCTTACACATCTTTATTTTCCATGCACTCAAAATAATATAAAAGCATCAGTAGACAATGCTTTTTAGATTCTTTCATATGCAAAGACCTCCTGATGTTATCAGCAAAAATGTACCTATTTTTTTAACATATTTAACACGAACAAAAGATCAGACTGCATTTAACTTCAGAGGGCTTTCAGAGAACAAATGATAAGAAATGTGTTTACTCAAGGATGAATCTCTTTTCAAAATGACCCAAGTGTTGGCCTAGTGGTTAGAGCAGTCTGCTTAAACTCTGTGAAGGTTGCAAGTACCCGGTTTGATCCTCGCTGCCTCCTCTCTGGGTCCCTGACCAAGAACCCTATGTAGTAGTGAGTTTGAAACCCCACGTAATCCCTAACACCACACTGCTCCCCAGGCGCTGCACCATTGGTTAAATGCAGAGAGAAATTTCTCTAGTGTGAGATCAATGAATTTTAGTTATTAGAAGATAAAAAAGATCAAAATACAAGGTTTAAGTTGCCTTTATTTGTAACTTCCTTTAACCAAACATACAGCTGCAACCAAAAAAACCAACATTTCATTAACAGACCGACCCAAAATCAACTGAATCAGACATTTATTGTCCATATGAAGTGATCATACCCCTTCAAGTTTGTGTTCAAATTTGAAGTATTTTTAGATATTATGTATTCCAGGACCAGAAGTAGCTTTGTAAGAATTTGGAAGTAATAGTTATAAGTGACAGGGCCTTTTTAACCCATTCAGGTATTAATAGAGAGACTGGCAGACGACAACTCTGTTGTTAAACGAAAGATTGAATGCGTCCTGTCTTCATATCATCAAAGAGTAATGTAGAAGAGAACTGGAAATGTGGGAGAAGCTTCTCTGAACCAACAATTTTACTTTTGGCCAACATGGAAAATGTTATGAAAAGCAGAAAACACCTAACATTCAAAAACACATCATTCCCATGGTGATGTATAGTGGTGGCAGCATTGTGCTGAGGGGATTTTGCCCTTTAGAAGGCAAACAGTTAATGGGAAGATGAATGAAGCCAGGAACAGTGCAACATGTGGAGGCCAGAATATTAGAGCCATATAGGCCTTAATTCACCTTCCAGGAAATTAGGAAATATGATACATCACTTTATGTTCTCCTATCCTTTTATATCATGTTGTAATGTAACTAAATGAGGAGTCATTTTTCCAGTATCAGCGTTTTTTTGCAAGGAAGAGTAGTTCAAAACCCAGCTAGTGTTACTGAACCTCAAAAGCTACAGTAGATTAGGATGCTGTGACAGATGGGACCACGTTAACACAATCTTCCACCATCTCAAACATGAAGTAGTATGGGCCGCTACGTCGGGCCACGTCTCCGGCCGTCTCCCCGCTGCTGCTGCGGAGCCCAGGATTCAGGTTTCTCTTGGAGAGGAGGAACTCTAAGATGTGTGCAGTGTTTGGTTTAAGGGAGTTGGAGTGGGAGGCAGCCAGGTGGAGTGGTGTGAGCCCACCGTTGGTCTGGGCATTAAGCTGGGCGCCGTGTTGCAGCAGACAGCTCGCCACGGCAACGTGGCTCCATCGGCAGGCGCTGTGCAGGGGCGTCCACCCATCGATCGTGCGGTGATTCACCGTGGAGCCGGCGGCCAGTAGAGTTCTCACAACCTCTAGGTGGCCGCTGTACGCCGCACGGTGCAGTGGAGTGTATCCGTCCTCGTCACAGTAGTGCACCAGCTGAGGATCAGCCGCTAACAAACGGAGGACTGTCGGGAGCTAGAGAGAACAGAGAAAAGGACAACACCTTTACAAGCCTGCATACTCGAGGGACTTTTGTTTTTAAATTAATGATTATTGTTGTCATGTGTGTTTACTGTTAAAAATACCTTTCATAAGAGCCCAAAGGGTTAGAGGAGTGATTATTCCTCAAAAATAATGTATAACAATAATAATGTATAATGACTGACAGATCAGGGACCCAAACTGGCAACACACCACTCCCTCCTAAGCCACCAACACTAAAATAATCTGGGATTTAACAGCATAGAGCAGCTAATTAAAATAATTTGTTTTGTCTATCACTGCGAGTATGGAGGGATATTTCATTAAATATGCTTGTTCATAAAACAAGGCCGTTGTTCTGTCAGATGAGCATACCTCATCAGACCAGCAAACCCATAGTCAATACACGTGCGCAAGATGTCAGATTTGTGTTTATCCCTTTAGTTTTGAGCGAAAAATAAACTTTAAACTACCTCAACGGGCATGTACCCCTTTGGACATCTAAAAAAAAAAAAACAATTTAAGGTGAGATCGCAAAACACTTCAAACAAAACAGGAAAAAGTAAGTAATTAAATTGTTTTTTTGAACATTACTAAAGTGAAACCCGTTGAGGTAGTTTACAGTTTATTTTTTATACAAATCTAAAGGGTATTTCATACGGGTATGTTGGTCTGACTGGGTATGCTCATCCGACAGAACACGGTTTCTTTACACTCCAGATTGTTTATACTGTAGATGTTCAAAAGATGAAGGACCTGGTATAACTTTTAATATCATATTGAAGATGATAATCTTTAAGTTTCTCTCTTTTTTTTTAAAACCTACATTTACTATGTAAAAGACTGTTTATCAACAAGCAGAGATGCCACTAAGGATGTTGTCAAGATTATTTATTCAATGCCAAATGGGATCAAGAAAAAAGAAAGATATAATTGAAAATAAACTAGAACAGCAAGGAGTTAGAAAGGAGAAGAAAACATTTCCTACGAGCACAAGACGTGACATGTTAGCTAAAATACACAAACCATTTTCAGGACCCTTTTGTTTTGCTGCTTCTTTCAGCAGCGTATCCTTTATTGCTTTGAAAAAAGATCACAACTTCGTTTTCAATCAACTGAAAATGTGCTTTAAAAAAATCTACAACTTCAGTCACGAATCCTTTTTAACAAATCCTTTTGACCAAAAGTCAATTCATTTGCACCAGAAAGACTTAATTTAATAGTGCTTATTGAAGTCATATCGTTCTGTCATACATTGCCTGCACTCTAATCAGTCTAATCAGCAGGGTGTCACCCTAGTTCACTGAATAGGCTGGAAGAAAGTTATAAAAATAAAATCAAAGATGTAAAGATCTTTATTAATAAAGTCTCTTTTTTTTTTTTACATTTTCATTTCTCATTCATCCATTTGAAAGATATGTGGTCATTATTTGATCCCAGTCATGCCTAAAAACATTTGAAGTGGTCAGATTTGCTTTTATCTGCTGTTGAAACGTTTTCGTTATATAATCTTCCAAATCTTCCAAATATATTAGCTTTTAGTTTTAAAAAGTAAAGACCTTTCTCTCAGAAGTTTTATTCAATTAATTTCATTTGAATAAAGTTATCTTCTTGCCACAGTGGGAAAAAAAATCTGAATCTTTGAATGATCACGAACTAGTTGTCTGTCCAATTATCTTGTATCAATTAAAGACCCACTTTCACTCACAAAGAGGCTTCCTTTAAAGTAAACACCTGTGTGATGCAGGCAGAAGGGCAACTCTGCATCACTAAGGCTACAGCTGTAATTACACTCCATCACAGGCTGAAAGGATCTCACTTCACAGCAGCCAATCATACTCAAAGAAAAGACACTCAGCATTGCAAGTAAAAATCCTTTTCATCCTCATTAATATAAAACTGCTATTTAGTTCAACATTCTCAGAAAGTATTAAAGTAAGCCATTAAAAAAACTACATGAATACACCGTTTCTACTTATTTAGCAACTTTTTCTTATTTAAATTCTCTCCTTGAAATATTCTTGCCATTTCAGCCAATAGACCATCTTATCAGCTTTCCTCCACTACTCTACCTAAAGTGGGGGTTTAGATAATACACCCCCACATTCAGTAAGAGCCTTTTAACTGTAATATTACCTGTATTATAGAATAGTGATACATCTAAATGTTGTGTTTACTTAATCAAATGTAACCAGTAAACAGTAGGTCTGACTCAAAATTCCATCCATAATTAGCAAAAAGAATCAGTAAAGAACAATATATTTTATTTTTTCACTACCCTTATTTTTTCTACATAAAGTCTGGTGCACCAAAGAGAATTAGGGAGCCATTTCAATTTAAAAATTGTCTATGATCTGTCAGACTATGGTTTCAACCTGCAGGAGTGCATAAGACTTCAGCTTATAACAGAAAGGTTGAAGGTGCTGCAACAAAAAGGTGTAGATTGGCTGCAGATTTAGGAGAAATGCATTACAATGATTCATCCGTCTGACAAAGTAGTCTTTTAGCAGCCACATGTCTGGTTTGCAGCAAATGCATGACAAGGTGACCATGAACTCTGTTAAATATTCATTATGAGTCATATAGAGACTGTTTCACACGACCCCTGGCAGAAAAAAGAAGAAAGCAGCACAGAGAATAAAAGCATTTTTTAAATCCAAACAACCAAAATAGACCCAACAATAATGTGGCAAAGATCCAAGACAAGTGCAGGTAATGACTGCTATAAGAGGAGCAATTAGAACGGGAGTCCATTAACACAAATAGTTGAACAGTCCTGTTTTATAAGACTTCTTCACATTTGTGTGAATCTGCATACTTCCCTTAGTGCTTCACTTTGCTGCTGGGAGACCTAAATCAACCCAATTGTGAACAAGATCCAGGGGGGGTGGTGGCCTTTCGGTTAGAGCACTGCGCTTGTGTCAAAGAGGTTCTAATTTCAAGTCCCACACCCTCTCATGGACGCCAATCTGGGTCCCAGAGCAAGACCCTTAATCCCAGACTACTCCCCGGGCGCCGCACAATGGCAGCCCACTGCTCCCCAAGGGGATGGGTAAAGGCAGAGAGTTTATTTAATTCCTCTGCACTTGTGACAGTGTAATGACAATCAAAATTGAAAATAAAAAAAGAGATTTAAACCCTTTTTTTTTTCTTTTTAGAAGGAGCTAATGTCCAACCTTGGGTATTCCAGTATAGTTCCAGAGGCCAGCCAGGCTCAATAGGACCCCTCATTTAGCTCGACTACACACCGTAGTGTCACTTTAATCACTTTACTTAGTCATAATAAAAGACAATGATTACTCTCAGCCTCTTGCTGTCAAATCTGGAGTAATTAGGGTGATGTTTTAAACACAGATTAAGCTGCAGAACACACTATGCTGTTAATTCGAAACTGAAAGCTGCTACAAAATAAATGGAGTTTTAAAACATTCTAGAACAATTTGTTTTTACTGTCTGAAATAGACCATGCATTTACCCAATGTTATTTTATTTTTATTGCTGCATTACTACAATCACTAACAATCGCATACATGTTCATAAGCTAGGAATTTTATATAAGTCTAAACATAAGGCTGGTCTATTTGCAAACGACAGTCAGCAGATGACAATCTGCCATCTGGAAAGAACAGACGCCAATGAGGGATTAAATAGTACTGGACGTGGGAAATAAGGTGTTTCCACTTGCTGCCAGTTCAGTGTGATTGAGAGGCAGCAGTAAAGATCATCTGGAGATGCTAACCCAACCACTAAAGGTCTGCGCTGCTGCAGCACAATTTATGATCACACATATGGAGCAGCAGCAGGAAAAAGTTAAATGGAGAGAAATTAAAAGACAACAAAACCGGAGATATCAAAAACAAGGATAATCACTTGGCAGGCCTACTCCAGGTGGAAGGAGCTAAAAGGGAAGCTAAAGTTACTATGGCTCTGTTCGAAATCCTGGGACTCGTCCTTAGAAGGCCAGATTCGAAAGACGATTACGTCATAGCGCGGCGCCGAGGTCTGGTCGGATTCCAAGACTCCACTGTATGCGGCTTAAAAATGTGTCCTTCTTTTTGCCCGATTTGAAGGACGGGTCCGATGTATTCTCGCTATCCTTGGATTTCCTAGGATTCATTGCGAGACCAAGCAAGCCATGATCAGAGGAAAGGTCTGTGAATAGTTCCATCTAAAATGAATGAAAATAGTTGTTTTAATGGTTATTGAGTCAGATATGTGGTTTATCTAAAGGTTTTTATCTGTTACTGTGTAAATGGGTTTGGCTGTAATTTAAGGACAGATTCTAATATATCTGCAGGGGGGGGATATAAACCTGACAGGATTAAAAATTTTTATTGCTGTTTTGCACAATATGCTTAACAAAGACATTTTTTGTGGAATATTAGAGATTTTGCAGATATATTCTATATACATACATTGTTTAGATTTACTTATATATTTCTACCTCTTTCATAGAATAGACAATGTCTTTATTGTCCCACAATGGGCAAATTTACAGCAGCAGAAAGATTATTGAAAATGGTCACACAAATGTGGACCTTAGAAAAATGTATAAGAATAACATAATAGGGAAGATTTAAAATACAAACAATAAAATACTAGAAAGTGTTTTAACAATATAAAACTGGGGAATAAATAACCAATATGCAGCAATAGACATTTTTACAGTAATGGATATTTGAAAATAGCAACAACATCAGAGATGTGCAGAATGACAGCAGGATGTTATTTAACTGATTAAGGTTTCTATCATTACATTTGATTTTATTTGTTCCTGCTCCCGGTGGTTGGAACCTTTATTCCACTCAATAAATTGAAAGAAATAAACAGTTTTTAAAACTTCGGTATTCATTCTTTTCCTGCTTTGTGCGTCAACTATCACGGTTGCTAAGCAACATAGCCTACGGCAACCTGCCAAAGGGTAGACCTGTTCAAATTCACAGCCAAAACTCTTCCGGTCTCCTTATTTTCAAGGACTTCGAAGGATCCAGTCT